TCTTGATTCACAACATGTATATTTACAAACGTTACTGGGTGCGGAAATTACAAACTGAAATTAACACGGCGAGTGATGTTAATGTTGTTTTTGTAATGTCATGAGAGGAAATTGAGGAGTTTTGTATCAATCAAGAAACGAATCAATATGTTGTGAATGATGAAAACAAATTATGGAAATAGAGATAGCTGTGAGTATACGTTTTGCTCTATTTCATCGCTGCTATGCGGGTCACATTTCAGTTATGTGCCATTTTTATTATTACTATGTTAATGCTCTGTGGGCCGCACCAAAAGAGCTCCACGAGCCGCAGGTTGGCCACCCGTGCATTAACAGGTTTGCAGAATATCGTTATTACAAGCTATTTTTTATATACATGTACATGTATGACTCTTTGGTCTTTGATCTTATGACCCTAAAATCTAATCAGTTCAATGGCTCTGCAAGAAACATACATGTCCCGAGTTTGATAGTAATCCATTCGTCAGTTCTAATAAGAAGGTGTTCACAAGCTAGTTTTGCATTCATAATGAGCTCCATGACCTTACACCTCATGACCCCAAAATCTACTCAGTCCATTGGCTCTGCAAGATAAATACAGGTTTTGAGTTTGATGGTAATCTGTCCATCGGTTCTAATGATAATGTGATCATAAGCTATTTTTGCATACATAATGAGCCCTGTGATCTTTGACCTTTGACCCCAAAATCTAATCAGATCATTGGCTCTGCAAGATACATACATCGTCGCCGTTTTCACGAACCGGCACAAGCCACCGAAATCCCTTCAAAATGTAGTTTTTATTTTTTTTGCATTTTTAGCATAAGTTATCAACAATCTTTCATCTCACCAAATTTCAGCATCCAAAACGCTTTAGTTTTTGAGATATCCATGGTTACACAAATGACAAAAACGACACACGAGCCAAAAAGCACGATTCATATTTTCACGAACCGGCACGCGCCGTTATAAGACAATGGGCTGTGCCGGTTCGTGAAAATATCTTTGCGCTTACAAGACCTAGACGACGCGACACAGGCGGTTGTGCCGGTTCGTGAAAATAAAATACGCGCTAAGACAGCGCGAGCGCTTTTGTCTTGCGCGTAAAGTTACATAGGAAAAACGACACAGTGGCTTGTGCCGGTTCGTGAAAATATTTTTGCTACGTAAACAGCAAAATAATATTTTCACGAACCGGCACGAGAGTCCAAAGCTTCGTAATATTAATAGTAATTGTCATTATGCTTAACAAATGGAATGTATAGAAAATACAGAATATTTTCCTTTCATTGATATGTATTTTGTGATATAAAATTTGACATAAGGCATGTTTCTGGCGAATTCAAAACGGGCTAAACGTAAAACGCGTTTTTCTCAGAATGTACTTATTTCGTTGCGCGTTGGGCTGTGCCGGTTCGTGAAAACGGCGACGACATGACTAAAGTTTGGCAGGAATCCATCCATCGGTTCTTGAGATAACCCGATCACAAGCTATTTTTGCATGCATGAGCCCTGTGACCTTTGACCCGTGACCCCAAAATCTAATCAGTTCATTAGCTCTGCCAGATACATACATGGTTTAAGTTTGGCAGGAATCCATTCATCAGTTATTGAGATAACGCGACGTATGGATGGACGGACAACCCGAAAACATAATGCCTCGGGCTACTTCGTAACGGAGGCATAAAAATTTACCGCACACCCAATGAATGTAATATTTAAATGGAAATCCCACCAAGGAGTTGTGGCGTGCCCGTGTAATCCGGCTAACAATGGAAATTACAAACTGATTCAGCCGAGGACGCAGGTTTGAAACTGAATCACGTCTTTCGGATAGTGACGTTTAAAGGTACTATGTCCCATTTGCAGGCCAAAAAATGAAAAAGTTAAATTCCAACTGCATTTGAAAGATAATACTAATTTAGAACTTCCCTAAATGAGGTGGGGCTTGAAAATGTCTTCAAGTGGGAAAATAACGACTATTAGTTGTCAAATCGACTTTAGGGCTATAGAGCCCAAAAGTAATAGTCTTAATTTTCAGACAATTGTACCGAATGGTCATACCTTTTATGCTGCGCAAAGATTCAATCAGTTTAATCTTGGCCATCACAAGAAGTGGGTTATTGATGTAGACAAATGCTCATGTACCCTTTACAACTCTTTTCATGTATGTTATTACCAAAGAAGGAAAAAAGCCAGTCAGTCACTCAATAGTGTCTGACAGTGAAGTCTAGCAAGTAAACGGGTTTCCTTGCATAATTTGAATATGAGGACACTGCTAACGTTTAAATTTCACAGATAGGACATACATGACATATTCATAATTCCTGCAAAGTTCTACAGAATTTGAGGTTGGCTGCAAAAGGGACATAATACCTTTAAAGGTCGGTCCTTAATAATCATATCCGATTGATACACATCTGTAAAAACCCAATACACACACACACACACACACACACACACCAAATAGACAACTTATCTAAAAGAAAGCAGAAAATCAAAGAAGCAAACTGATGAAAGTTTCAATTAAATCTGACTAAATATAAGAAACTTATGAATTTTTGAAAGTTGTTATCACTATACGTATGGGCAATTCAAATTGGCTAAATCGGTAATATCAATGTGATGTACAGTTGTAGTGCCGGACTACTTTCCTATTAACATACACTGTTGGTCATAATGGTGGAATAATTATTTTCACCCCAATTTATGGACTGATTTTCACAATGATTTATTTCTAATAGCTCTAAATAATAGTATACATTCTCAGATTCTATTGAATATTAATTTGTGGGGGTTTGTTTGTTTTACGTGCCTGCTAAATCATGTGTGTGCTACCTATGCTAATCAACTAGGGGACCTACATATACGTCCTTAAGTCATAACAGACAGTAATGAGGATTAATGCCTCACAAAAGGGCACTAATAGCGAGCTTTCGATTTGGGCACCCGACGTCGGCTACTACGAGGTACTGGAGCGTGTAGACATTGCGCAGCTCACGTCCGTTCCCTTCGCGGCAGTGCTTTCGATTTTTCACGTCAGTGCGCGAAATTCTGATATGCAGTCTATACTAAAAGTAGCCCATTCCCACCCCCCCCCCTAACAAAAAGGATAAAAACGGTGAAAATATATCAGTTATTACATATTTGTTTTGCATTTTTATAAATTTAAATTTGCCTAAAAGAAAAATAATTTTAATGAGCCAATCTGTTTGAAGGTGGTAGCACTACATTTACACATACATGTTAATAGAACACAAAACTGTTCTACCGGTACCCCCCTAATGTTGGCTCAGTCAGTAGAGCGTCCGCCTCACAACCGGGAGGTAGTGGGTTCGAATCCTGGCCGCGTCATACCAAAAGACGTTAAAAGATGGGAGTTGTTGCTACCTTGTTTGGCGTTCAACAATAAGGGGATAGAGCAATGTCGATCTGACGCTGCTCAGTGGCTGCCGGGCTCACGATCAATTGGGCAAAAAGAATTTCCGTTTCGGTTTAATAAAATTTGGAGTGGACTATTAGGCTATTATTATTATTATTATGAACCACTCATAATTTTAAAGGTACTATGTCCCATTTGCAGCCAACATCAAATTATGTACAACTTTGCAGGAATTATGAATATTTCATGTATGTCCTATCTGTGAAATTTAAACGTTAGCAGTGTCCTCATATTCAAATTATGCAAGGAAACCTGTTTTACCTTCTAGATTTCACTGTCACACACTATTTAGTGATTGACCGACTTCTTTTTTTCTTTGGTAAAAACATACATGAAATGAGCTGTAAAGGGTACATGAGCATTTGTCTACATCAATAAACCCACTTCTGGTATTGACCAAAATTAAACTGATTGAATCTTTGCGCAGCACAAAACATACGACCGTTCGGTACGAGGGTTTGAAAATCACACTATTACTTTAAGTGATTGCAAAAATGTAATGCAATTACCTAAGTGATGGTGTAAATATTCATAAATGAATGATACATGCCAATAAAACAGCAATCACTGAAGGGAAGTTCTTAATAAGTATTATCTTTCAAATGCCATTGAAATTTAACCATTTCATTTGGTTTGGCCTGCAAATGTGGCATAGTACCTTTAAATGTATCACGATGTCATCTTACCACAATATTGGTGCAGTTGTTATGTACATTTTGTGTGCAAATCAGAGATATTCATCACTGTATGGCTGAATGAGCACAGATTAAAGACAAAATGGCCTGATTCAAAAGTTACAAGACATTGTGTGTGCCTGACTGCCTGTACATTGTTGTGAAACAGCACATGACTGAATGCATTGATTATGGTTTATGAAATAATACTGTTTGATATTCAATTATAAGTATCATATTCCATCTATTTTTATATTTGAATCGCAAATGTGTTTAAATGCATTATTTGCAATTGTAAAACAGTCATGGTCTCTTTGACATTATTACTGACATGTAATGACATGTAATGTCAAAGAGCCATGAAAGAGCTAGATTTGTCCATCTAGGCCTAGGCCCTCTCAGCTCCCTGTCCGGTTCCCGAGCTACCATTGTCATAATTCTATTGACAATTGTGTGCGTGCGGGTAGCGCTACGATCGGCAGCGCATATATGCAATCTCTAAATCGTGGCTGGAATGGCATGCAATATCCGTTGCCATGCCAGAGCCATCCTCTTTCAGGTACTACTTTGAGTTTTCATATTTCATTTAGAGATTTCAAACAACTTATTTAAAAAGTGGAAAACCTTTAGAATGATCTGCAATCAGAACGAATGATATTTTTTCGTCCCGAGGCGTGCAAAACCCTAAAAGTTTTAAATATCAAAGGATTTCCTTACTCAAATTATAATATAAAAGATTATGCTGTGGCAATTATTCGTATTCTATAGCAGCACAAAACTGATGTGCATTGTTTTTATGTGGTCCCATTCACACACTTATATATGATGCTCCTTTAAGTTGGGTTTGTGAAAGGGGCATAAGGCAGTAACTTTGACTGGTTTACCTTTGACAGAGCCCTGAGGATAGCCAAATTGAGTAGCTAGGGAAATGGTCTCGTCTTGGCCTCTTCTTTCCACTTCAAGTTCAGGTGTGCATCTTCTGCCTCTTCTTTCCTCCTCCTCTTGGCTTCTGCTTCAGCTCTTTGTTCTTCCTTCTCCTTTTTCTCCTTCATCTCTTTTGCAGCCTTCTTCTTGCTCCTCCATTCTCCATAGTTCTCCTTCAAAGTAAAGGGAAGATGAAAGGTGATTTCTTATTCTGGCAATTGCAGAAAACAGAATCTCACAGATTTAAACAGAACTATTTTAAGACTACAAAGAATGATAATACAATCACAAGGGTTCATTTTAAGTGACATCTTTCAATGGGAGTTTACAAAGGTTGATCTCTTGTTTCGATTAAATTTTGATTAAAAATGAGAAAGATATTAATTTTTAAAGTTGCAAAACAAATTGGCAACACTATGTCATATTTTGCATTTATTTTCAAGCTCCCCTGCTATTTGCCCTGTATTTAAAAACTTCAAAAACCTATACTTCCGTTAAAGCCCCACTGCACTACTCATAGCTACTTACACCCTCGATATAGCAAACAATGCCTAAGCAGTAATAATAACAATAATAATGAACGTTATTTGTATAGCGCATATCACTAACACCATGAAAGTCCCTATGCGCAGTGACAGTTGGTTCCTTTTTCCTATGTCAATTTAGAGCTGATAACCACTTGTCAGTGACCACGCAGGGAGGTCTAATCCCTCTTGGCCAAACTAGTGCAGATAGGTTTTAAGAAAATTTGCAATAATACGTTCACCCTAAATATAATTATTTCAAAGATGTTTTTATACAACCCCTGTATGAATCATCTTTTCCCTAACCAATCAGTAAGAAAACAAAAATTTATAAAATTGGAGAGGAGCTTGCAAGATATGTCACAGTGTTGCCAATTTGTGTTTCAATGATGACAACTTTGAAAATTCATAACTTTCTTATTTCTAGTCGGTTTTTGTTCAAACTTTCACTGACCCGTTTCTCTCATTTTCCTGCTTTTATTAAATACAGCTTAATATCAGGGTGGACTTCCCCTTTAACACTCACCTTTGCTTTCTCCTGGACTCTCCTCTTCTCTTCTGCTTCAAGTTGTTTCTTTGGCTTTTCTCGATTTCTGCTCCTTAGTCGTTCTTTCCTCAATCCACATGTTGACCTTGGCCTCAATGACCTTAGCTTTCTCCACCTTCATCTTCCTCTCTTCTGCAATCTTCAGCTGTTTCTCCCTCTGCAGCTTGGCCTATACTCGATAAAGAGAGAAAAGAAGAGAACAGAGTGAGTGAGAGTGAGAAAGGGGGAGGAAGGAGAGGGAGAGTAAGAGAGAGAGAAGGGAGAGTGAGAGAGGGGGAGGGGAGGAGAGGCTGGAAAGAGAGAGAGAGAGAGAGAGAGAGAGAAAGAGAGAGAGAGAGAGAGAGAGAAAGAGAGAGATAGAGAGAGAGAGAGAAAGAGAGGGAGAGTTAGAGAGAGAGGGAGAGTGAAAGAGGGGGGAAGGGGAGGAGAGGCTGGAGAGAGAGAGAGAGAGAGAGAGATATCAATGTACTTTGCGCCAAAAACTGTATGAACTGTGCCCAAAATTTTATGTGGTGTGCATTTTGGGGGGAACTATGCCCCCGTTTTGTGAATCGAGCACCTTTTTGTTTGAACTATGCCCAAAGTTTGGGTAATGTGCGCTTAGGTGACTATAAAAAATCCTATGTACTATACGTCGATAGTTGGGGCATAGTACATGGAATTGGAGGCACGATTACCTGAGCGTCGGCCATTATGTACGCGTACCATGTACCCTTTATGCGGTGCTTCATCGTGCGATAAATATCTGCTCAGTAGCAAGACATTAAGTTGATCAAACTTAATACTGAATACTGTTTTGGGTAAGTATGCTCAATGTCATTCTAAGTTCTATCATCAAAATGGGCCAGGAGAAAAGTGTAAACTGAAAGTAAATACATTATTTAATCTAGTTAACTGCAATGTTGAGTGTATCGTTAGATCTTGTTTAGTTGTTGGCCAAGCGGCGTTGGCCCTAACTCCAGGAAGCTCCGACGCCGATGCCGTCGGAGCTTCCTGGTGTTACGTTAGCCCATATGTCCATTTCTGTGTAAGATTTAGACCTAACTAGAAATTGGAATGCCTAATTAAAACTTTGAGTACAGCTTACAAGGATTTCCCAGATTAAAGTGCCATATGTATAGGTGTCTTTCATGTTAAAACAATCATAAACTGCGCGTAAATTGAATGAGTGTGCTGCATGGGCACCCCGACCCCCCACTCCAAGAACGGACGGACCCCATGCATGTTACCAAAATGTCCGGTAAAGTGTTCTTTTCGTGCGACAAAGTCCGGCCCGAGAATTATAACAAAAGGGGGTGTATTAACTTTTCACCCGGAGATTTCTCTAAAAAGGGGGCGTGTTTTCTTTTTTTCTCTCATCTCTTTGGACTCCTGAGAAATTATTCAGAATTTAGGGGGGTACATTGAGCACTTTCCGAATTTAGGGGGGTCTCCAAGACAGGAAAAGCCTGTGAAAAGCCCGCGAAAGGGGGGTTTGGAAATGTTGGCAGTCCTCAGATAGGGGGTGCTTTCAAAAAGAGGGAACAAGCATACGCGTAACCTAAATAACACTGAGTGGGGGGGGGCCGGGATGGGCACATTTGTTTTTGCAATGTCAAAAGACAAAAATGACAAAAATGACTTTTTCTTGTAGTTGTAGAAATTAAAAATGTTCTTGCTCAAAATTTGATGAGATTTTTGGGACACATATATTCTTTAAGATTAAGCAATAAATGAGTAATAGCTTCAGTTTCAAGTCAGACCTTACAGGGCTCCCCATCCCATATGACTGGGTAATTCTGTGAACGGATAAATTTACTGTCATCATTAGTAGCCTAGAGCCTAGGCTAGCTAGATCTAGTAATAGTATTAACACCAGTGACACATGAATTACAAATATAGGGGCAGTCACCGCTTTATCATTAAAAACTAACTAAAATGTTGATGAGATGGTCATTTGCAGCTGGGATATCATTGATATGTTACACATGGAAACACATGGAAATCTGATCAAAAAATATATATTATTGTGTGGTTGCACGACTACAAATGTTACACTAGAATCTACATCAAAATAGTGTTTAGTTTGTATTTTGAAACTTATGTGTAAGAGGGTAGTTGGTGGCAGGCTTTCAGTGTACCTTATCCTTCATCCCGTTTCCCTCCCGCTTATAGTTAGGTATAAGCAAGGCTTAGTTTTTATTTGTGTTTAAATTGTTATATTTGATCAAATTGCTGCTATGTTTTGTTCACATCCTGGTTTATTATTAGTATAATATAAGGCTTATGAATATGTTCAAGGAACAGGATATTTGTTTACAGAAAGGTGTAATTTAAGATGTTACGTAATGTTAAGAGGGTGTGACTTATCATCTCTTTGATTACACGTAGATGAACTGGATACATAGGCGATGCATAGTAGGCTATGCCTGTACATGGTACATGTAGAATGCATTTGTGTGTACGGTCAATTGGGCCTTGGCACCCCGCTTCCACTGAGGATATGGGGGTGGGGGGTGAATTGAGACAAGTAGCCGAAATGAGTAGGGGCATGCAGACTTCAGACAACACAGATGACAATATCAGCCTGAGGAGTTGAGTTGGTGCCCTTCATTTTGTCTGGACACACCGCTATAACGTAACATCATTCTTAAAATACACTGTTCTGTAAAGAAATATCATGTTGCTATATCATTGCAGATAACGTATCGAAAATAATATCGCTAGTGACATTCGTTTGTCTTGCAATGTATGTATGTATGTCGTGATCTTTTAGATCCCTTGTTGACCATACATCATTGCGAGACAAAGGAATGTCACTAGCTATATTATTTTCGATAAATATCATGTTCTTTGAACATATTCATAAGCCTTATAGAGTCTATAGTTATACTACCCTTACAAAAATGTCCTGTGGTAATTCCTGTGGTACCTGATTTTACCACACAAAATACCACAGGAATATTTAGTACCTCAGGAACTTGTGTGTCACTAGACTCCTGTGGTAATGTCAAAGGCTGGATGTGGTAATTTTGTATTTCCTGTGGTACCTGATGTTACCACACAAAATACCACAGGAACTCTTGAAATATTAACTCGACTCCTGTGGTATAATGTCAAAGGCTGGCTGTGGTAACTTTGTATTTCCTGTGGTACCTGATGTTACCACACGAAACACCACAGGAATAGTCAGTACCACAGGAACTCTTGAAATATTAACTCGACTCCTGTGGTATAATGTCAAAGGCTGGCTATGGTAACTTTGTATTTCTTGTGGTACCTGATGTTACCACACAAAATACCACAGGAATATTTAGTACCACAGGAACTTGTGTGGTAATGTCACTAGACTCCTGTGGTATAATGTCAAAGGCTGGCTGTGGTAACTTTGTATTTCCTGTGGTACCTGATGTTACCACACAAAATAGAGAGCGAGATCTTCATTTTCAATTTCAATTCCCAACGGCGCATTTCCACCATTACTTTTTCCATTTCGCCAAATTTGTCTTCCTTTAAAACCCAGAGTATGGAGGGAAAAGGTTAGATTTACACCACGAAAGACAAATTTTAAGTGTATTCCAGAGCAAGAATTTAACAAAAATGGGGCAGGATCGCAGAGTTTACCATACCAGGCCAAGTTTAATACATGACTCAGACTGTAGTCCCACACAGCCAGTCATGTGTGGGGAAATGGGTCTGCAGAAAATGATTAACTTTGCTGCTCTGGACTGCTAGCTGCTGGAGCTACTTTAAAGATCATCATTTTGTCCAGGTGAGTAAAAAAATTATACATAATTCAATACAGAATTGTGTTTGCTTTCTACACAAAATAGGAAATTTGGTTGGTAAATCTTACTCTTATAAATTTGGTTCATGAAAAAATGAAAACCGATCGCATTTGATGAAGGTCGTAGATGGCCTACTGTACTGCATCTATGGGTCAATGTCGCTATTCATAAGGTCCGCTATTCATAAGGTCCGCTATTCATAAGGTCCGTTATTCATAAGGACCGCTATTCATAAGGACCGCTTTTCATAATTGGAGAAAAGGGTCATTATTCATAAGGTTCGTTGTTCATAAGGACCGCTATTCATAATCAGATAAGAGGGTCGCTATTCATAATACGAGAAGAGGGTCGCTATTCATAATGCAAAATCGGGGTCGTTATTCATAAGGGTCGCTATTCATAATAGGAGAAGAGGGTCGCTTTTCATAATATGAAATGAGGTTCGCTATTCATAATATGAGAAGAGGGTCGCTATTCATAATAGGAGAAGAGGGTCGCTATTCATAATAGGAGAAGAGGGTCGCTATTCATAATACGAAATGAGGTTCGCTATTCATAATATGAGAAGAGGGTCGCTATTCATAATAGGAGAAGAGGGTCGCTATTCATAATACGAAATGAGGTTCGCTATTCATAATAGGAGAGGAGGGTCGCTATTCATAATAGGAGAAGAGGGTCGCTATTCATAATACGAAATGAGGTTCGCTATTCATAATAGTAGAAGAGGGTCGCTATTCATAATACGAAATGAGGTTCGCTATTCATAATAGGAGAGGAGGGTCGCTATTCATAATAGAAGAAGAGGGTCGCTATTCATAATACGAAATGAGGTTCGCTATTCATAATATGAGAAGAGGGTCGCTATTCATAATAGGAGAAGAGGGTCGCTATTCATAATACGAAATGAGGTTCGCTATTCATAATAGGAGAGGAGGGTCGCTATTCATAATACGAAATGAGGTTCGCTATTCATAATAGGAGAAGAGGGTCGCTATTCATAATAGGAGAAGAAGGTCGCTATTCGTAATACGAAATGAGGGTCGCTATTCATAATAGGGTCACTATTCATAATATGAAATGAGGTTCGCTATTCATAATAGGAGTAGAGGGTCGCTATTCATAATACGGGATGAGGGTTTTTATTTATAAAATGAAATAGGCCTAAGCAATATCCAAAATGCTCATAATTAATGGAAATATTGGACGGAGGACACCCCCAAGGCGACACGTGGCCCTGAATATTTGTCTTGTTTTTAAGTAGGTTTGAAATTTGTTATCCAATGTTATAAACATAATTGAGAATTTAAATCAATAACATTTGAATCATGAAACATCCTCAAGGTCACCTCCCCTCCCCCCCCCCCCCCCCCCACACCCGCCGCCTTCGCCTTTATGATGACGA